ACACTGAAGGCAAATAAAATTCTTATGAACCGAGGTCAACACGAAGTCTAACCGGATATCATCGAACGAATGTGCCGGGATTAATATACTGCATTCAAAGTCACACATCTGAGCAGTGACAGCATGTAAAGCAAAGTCCCGTGGCAGGAAGGTTACATGCCTTTAGCTCCCCGAGACGCTGGTAAGTTATACAGAAGTTATCATGAGTCAGGGTTGCAATTAGCCTGGCTAACTCCAGCAAACTGGCCGTCTGAACAGGGCTCCGCTTGTCTTGGAGTGAACGTTATAAGAACAGCGAATTTGCTAAATATCTTCAATTTCTTGAGCTTAATATGTTTGACTTCAGATATGATTCTGTTCCGAGACTTGGATCTTTTCTGATACTTTCATACTGGAAGACAAAATGCAATTCCTCTCTTTTATTAGTACAGCGGGGGCAAGTCACGGCAGAAATTTCCAAACGCAACTTTCATTAAAAATGTATAGGATAAATTAAATAAAATTAAATTAAGAAACATAATTAGGATTTTCGAAATTAAAGAAAAAATAACCCTCCATGTATTTTTGTAACTTATGGAGGCAATAACTGTTACCAGCTGCAATTTTCTCGTATGATCGTCTCCAGACATCTTCAGGTATTGACATTCATACAGTATAAGTGAATGCGTGCACGGCTTAGGTTTCTTCTCATGCGATCTTCAAATACTTCCTAGGATATGCTTGTTACGAACTATAGGCTTTTAGGTGAACGTTTCAGTAACTGCCAACAGGGGACAACAATGAGCAGTCATATCGGCTCCTGCACGAACAAGAATCCAGACCAACGTACTGTGACAAGCCTTCTTCGTATAAAAGTTGCTATCTAGAAACTTTAGTAGGATTTATAAAGCACCTAAAGCTCCCGACAAATCTGCAATCGCTGCCGTGCATCAAGTCACGGCCAATCAGACACATAAGTTACGTGACTTAATGCACAGAAGCCAAATTTACGCGTCACGGCCCGACAGATCCTCGCTAATTGCGGGCTAATTTCTTGCGAGAAGTTCTCATTAGAGCCGCAATAACTTCGTAGGTTTGGAGCCGAGCATTCCAGGCCTACGAGATAATTCTGAGACTTCAAAATTTAACTTTGGGCGTTGAATGAATCCTTGAACGTTTCATTCATGGCGGTAAAACATGTTTCAGCGGCGGTAAAGCAAACTTCAACAGTAACATCTGCTAACCCTATCAAAGTTTTGATACCTGTCAGCCGCTGGCTCAGTGACACTATATTCGGCTTAGGGGCGAATCACGCGCTTAGAGGCGACCTAACAGCATTCAGCGACTATTCACGAGCCGATTGCGGGAGTCGATTGCACGATAGGCCGAATATACGAAGTCAGACCGAAAAACACAGCTGGCCAGCAGGCTTCTGGAGGCAGACGCTGTTATTTGAGCGAACCATGACCATCTCCCGCTCATCATATGGCGTCGATGTATGTGCGTACATGCGTACGTTTGTCAAGGCATATGATGGAACGAAATGAGAATTGATTTTACTAATTTTTTAAGCTTACGTGTTGTAAGATAATAATTTTATTATTTGTAGGATAAAAATAGCTGGATTTATTTATCTTTAAAAACTTGAAGGCATGGAAATATGATTAAGAGGTGCAAGAGCAGAAAAATACTTGATATGTACGTGGCAGTAAAAAGTAATTCTTGTAGCTCCAAGAGATAAATTTCTAATTCTTGTCATAACATACATAACTAATACGTAAGCTGTTAATCGGCAGGAAAAGCAACAGATGGACTTTCGGTTATGCATTCAGGGCCTACAAGCATTTTATTAAATGTTCAGGTCGCTATGATCTGGGATGAAACTGCTTGATATTGTGATGACAGGGTATTGCCTGATAACGGGCATTAAACAATGTACCTTCGGTTATTCAAACAAGGTCTAAAAAAATTCAATATTTTTAGGTGATGTTCACAATTGCATCATATTGTGGTGCGGTTCAAATAATTCCTTCAGTGAATTATGATCGTTTTATTCAATGGCGGTTACTGGGCGTGAGTGTCATACATAGCGTACATAACTCTGCTCAGGCACCTAACTACTTTTTGAACGAATTAAAAAAAAAGGTTAGTCATTAGTTCAAACAACCTCGATGACTAAACCTGGTCAATGCTTTACCGTTCTTGTTTCTCATAGTAACTTTATCATGATCGCAGGACAAAATTTGTGGCTAGCTTCGTTAAATGTTTAAATATTATTCGTGTTTAACGTGATGCAGCTTGAGGCAGTGAGTTTATAATTACATGACGTTGACGTTACACGTTCGTTTGCGGCGGCAGCGGCGACCGGCTTAGTTCACAACTTCACTCGTTGTACACTTGTACTAGTGATGATCGCGCGCCGAACGGCGAACGTTGTCATTTCAATCCTGTATTCGTAGTGGGAAAAGTGAAGTTGTGAAGTATTAGAATTGAAAATTACAGATTTTAAAAGCTGAACATTATTAGAAACTAGAAATTTATTCGTTTTCCTGTTCAACGGTTCTGCAAGTGGAGTTCATTGAGAAACACCACACCGATACCGGCATTACTGGAATAAAGTGGTGCCATGATGCCGGCATTCTACTTCGTTTAGAAGATTCCGGAGCTGGCAGTAATGAAATTTTTAACTCGAAGTATATGTTGTTAGGGAACGCCTTTCAATGTAATAACTTCATCGATAGCTAGGTTCGTGTATTGTCATTTTGTTTTGGAGTGAACTATTTCTTGTCATTGTCATGTGATCCACCACAGAGGTTAGTACTTGCATTGTTTATCGTGTGTTAATATAGTGGGGGCCTTCTTGGTGATGTTTAATATTATCATTTATATTAGTTTTTATTTATGTGTAATATATTCCTTTGTTAGAGTTCCGTTAATCCAAGTCCTCAATTTGTATTTATTCGTGTTTTTCAGCGGGGCTCTGAACTTAGGACATTCTTACGAGTTGAAAGGCAAGGGCTAGAAAGATACACGGTTTATAGTTTTATAATTTGTATTCTTGTATTTATAGTTCTTTTGTTCGGGGTCAAAGAAATACTATTTAATTCATTAGTCCTAACAATGTTGACATGATCATGATATTTTAGCTGCTCGTGTCCATATACTTCAGGTTTTAATTTTGTACGCATATTTTGTGTACCAAACCTTCTTGCCGGATTTCCGAAATTTCCACTCCTTCCCCCCCCTCCATAATCTCCAAAAAAGGGGGAAGTTTGGTAAAAGAATTGCCTAAAATGAGGTTGCGGAAACGATCACAGCTCAAACTCAGATCAATGTGCTTGATTTCAGAAGAAAGGTAAAAGATTGGAGTGTGTTTGGGATTTCGAACGATTTTTCGTCGTGTCAAAACTTCATCCCTAAATTGGGGGTCAAAGTTAACCCTGAAAATTTTGTTTTCGGCCATTTTTCGGTGGGTTTTCAACTCTCACGGCCAAACCGCAAGGATTTTTAAATTCTGAGGACATATTCTCTAAGCGTCTCAACGAGATACACTATATATTATTACCAGATTTCCGAAAAAATTAAAATCACAAAGTTGTGAGCCAAACTTTGATCAACTTTTTACCAACTTTTTCACTTTTTTCCTCATAACTCTACGGAAAATTTTTGTAGATTTTTTCAACAACTCTAATAATAAAGCACAAGTCTTTGCCTTTGATTTGGACCTTATTTCATGTTCTTAGCTTGTATATAACTCGAGATATGATTTTTCAAAGAGGACAAGAATTGACCAAATTTTAGTCGAAATCGCGTAACTTCGAGAGTTTGCCTGAACGTGTTCAACGTCTTCACTCGTAAGATTATTGTGCGAGCTCAGCATTTTTATAAGCGTTCTGAAAGTTGCTTTCAACAGAGGATAAAATTGCGCTAATTGCTGTGTATATCACTTATTTTCAAAAAAATATTTCTTTAAGAAACTTGATGATTAAAATTAGACCAAAAATTTGCTTTTTTCACTTTTTGAGCAATATTTAGGCAACTTAATTTTGACTTAAAGACATCATTCTTACATGATTACCTGCTGCAGCTCTTTAGAATTAATAATGCGAAAGAAAAACTTTCAAAAGTTCTGTAAAAACGGTTTTCGTGAAACTCCGAGCCGTGTTTTTGTCATGCGTGCCCGAACTGCTTTTTTGGCTTTTTCAAGGTCTTTTAAATCGGTAATGACCAGGATTGAAGAAAATGTACAATGAAAAGAAAACAAAATTTATCTTTTAATGGCCCCGAGTGTTGAGCTCGGGGCCCTGACGTTCCCTCGATATCTGCCGTCAAACAGGACCTCAACTAGAATTGCGCTCAAGCCGTTATTACGACGTTCGATAACCACCGGCGCAGGAGTAGGCAGTGATCGTAAATGCGACTAGTAAATGCGACGCTGTTTACTTTGATAGAAGAAAGCGACACCTAGGTTATTGAAGTTAGGAGTATTTAGGCCGGAGTTCGCATTTCCAACACGTTCAATGAGTGTTGGAAATGCGAACTCCGGCCACAATCATGCACGGTATCAAAATAAAAATTAAACACGTGGTAAAATATATGTCATTGGCTGAGGTTAGGTTCAAGCCAGGAACAAGTTTCTACGGCGACTATAACAAAGGGTGATTAGGTTAGATTTGATTAGGTTAGGTAAGGCAAAGTTAGTTCAGGCAAGGTTAGGTTAGGATAGGTTAGGCTAGGTTAAGTTAGGTTGGGCTGGGCTAGGTAAGGTTAGGTAAGGTAAGATTAGGTTAGGACAGGTTAGGTTAGGATATATCACGCCTTGTTTACTTCGGTTAGGTTAGTGTTTTTGGCTAAGTAATACTAATGTAAGGTTGTTTTAAACACTAATGATACACACAGGGAAAGGCCACAATTGGGAGGTTGCTGTGTGTAGTAGGAAATGTGTGGCAAGAAGAAGAAGAGAGAAAAAGAAAAAAAGTATAGCGGCTGATCTGGATTCATCGCAATTGTACATTACTCACTGATGACGGTGAGGTTGGCCACACTAACATCAACAATAAAATCATTAAAAAGGTGAGACTAAAAACCGGAAACGCCAAAATTCAAAAGTTTTTGCCAGACGCTCCCCTTAAGTTAGAAACAAGCAGTTAATAAGTCGATGTTTATTTTCCAAATGACAGCAAACTTCAACAGTTAATTAACCGTCGCACGCACTGAGCGTTAATTAAGTCGGATTACCACTGAATAATTAACATTTGGAAATTTATTGCTCATTTACGAATGTGAAACTTATAAAATAATTATTTCGTCCGTCTCTTTCAAATCAGTGTGATTATGCTCTAATGCAGTGTGTCTTCATAAATATGAAGCAGGCGTCGTGGCGCTGAAGTCTTGATGATTCATCATTTTCAAAATTGGATGTACGTATTGAAACTTTGTATTTACGGAACTTTTGTAGAAGTTCTAATGAAATTCGCCAGCCGTGCAAGCAAGCTTCGACTAGCATCAATCAGAGCGAGGCCTGAATTAATAATGAAATATTTTCCAAAAAATCTTTGCCGCGCTTCACCTCCCGAACCACCACACAATCACGCCGCTAATTATTTGCTGTCAGATTAGCGGGAATTAGCATGGGGTCAGGGGGGGGGGTCAGCGTCCAGGGAATGCATCGCCTGATCTCGTATTTGTTTAAGCCGTGAATGATTTAATTGCTTGCAGACTTTTTAACCAAGACAGTCCACTCTCGATCATGATACTTAAAGTTGTACTGAGCTTACATCAGCCAACCTCACAAGATGGCAGCAATTAATTTCATATACAAAGAAAGCTGAAAACCACAAGCTATAAGCTCTCAGGCCCAACGGTCATCTTGCATCTGGCAGACCTGCGGCTCTAAGTCCACTCCAAGTGGACACCCTGCAATGAAGAAGAAGAAGAAGAAGAAGATACTAAAGTTCGATTAATTTCGGAATGTTCACTCTCTCCTATTCTCAGACGAGTATTTAATGACAGTTGAACTTGCTTCGACACGAGTTTATCTACGCGATATTGCCCAAAAATTCCATCGTCAGCTGAAAGCCATTCACAGTGTTTGGGCATCGAACGAAGGAGCCGAACGATGCATTGGGGAAGTCGGCAGACAGTTTCAGGTTCTGGCGGCGGCCACCGGGGGCCATACTTTCATAACTCGCTACGCGTACGTAAGTACTTACACTCTATTTTCTTGTTTACGATTTGTAGATTTTGCTTGAAAGGCCGTCAATGATTGGCTGATGAACATACGATCTCTTAACTTTTTTTGAAAGCATGGGCCCGGGAACGCTCTGTCGCCGACGGCAGATAAACGTGTAGATGGAACAAACAAGTATTCTAAATCAAAATCTATCATAGGTGCATGAATTCAGATGTGTGAATTTCCTGTATTTGTATTATTGAAAGAGAATCACTTATCAAATCAATAATAATTTATTGATGCCGCAAAACATAATATGATGATCTGTACACGTGCAGACGCAGTTCATCGATTATTTCAGTGAATGAGAGACCAAACTCTCCACGAAGCAAAACATATCCTATCAACGTCTAAGTGCACGCCGCGCAGGTGTTCGTTAAGCTGACAAAGCAGAATACAGAGACAATCAATCATAACTTATTTGCTGGGAAAACGGAATGCCGCTTGAATAATGAACATTGATCTGGCAAATCGAAGCACCTTCTATAGACTAGCAATTAACATAGTACCACTTGCTATAGTCACCCTCGCGTGGCGCGGAGGAGAGTATGATCAGATGCTAGTGCCAGATAACCCTCGTGACGGCAACAATGGCCGTCAATTTTTAACAAGACTGTGAGTAAGTAAAAGTCAAAAGATAATGGTACAGCTGGTATGATAATGATGTAGAAATATGGTGAGACATAGTGACATTGACGACATATGCGCATTAGTATCGATGAAAGTATGCGTAATAAATGATGCTGTAAAGTTTTAAGCGGATATAATATAAATCATAATCAAAGTTCCGTAGATTCCGAGTGCATCATTCTTTTCGTGCGTAATTATTTTCAGAAATAAAATGAAAACGCAAAGAAATCAATCCAAAACTGAATATCTGTGCAAAAATAGTTTGAAGAAACAGAATATATTTGTGCAGAATCATAATATATTAGAAATGTTTACGCATAGGTACGTTTATGCGTGAAACAAATACATCACTGTACAGACGCAGGCGTGTGCAGTGATAACTTTTTTTTTTGTTGGAATAGTGAGTGTAGGAGGCCTTTTAAAAAAAATAATAAAATATAACTTCTGTTGTTATTAAAATTCCGTGATGTAATTTAGGAGGCACAATACTCTTCACAGTGCATCATAATTTAACTTGACTTTTTCATGGGAAAGTTATACGACAATGAGGAAAAGTTCAATTCTGGGATTGGGCTCGACCGAGTACGAATTCTGACAGAGCTTGCAGCGTTGCGATGTGAAAATAAATGTCTGTATTTAATTTCGCGCCAATAAATTTTAATTTCATGATTTATACAGGCGATGGAGAAAAAAATTTGATGCTTGTCCACATTTATGTTTTTCTGAGCGCTGAGAAGCCTTCTGGTCACGCGTACAGAAGAGCAATACGAAGAGGAAGCGATTTAATCGTATTGCCAATTCAGGCAGTATTCGTATTAAGGTAGCGTGCGCGAACCGAATGCAAACATAAGTTCATATGATAGATAAGAAAATAATACCCATTCATGGAATTGTGGAGACGTTTCCTTTAATGGAGGTTTTGTTGAAGATGAAAGCGTAATTTTCGTTAAAAGGAAAAATGTTAGTAGGAGTAACGCTCTAGTCACCAATAAAACTTTCATTTAAAAAAGTATTCACAACGCTACACCCCATCGTCTCATAGTTAATTTTGAAAATATTACTCATCCAGCCCCAATTAGGAGGGCAAGATTATATTTTAAGACTGCATTACGAAACTGATAAAAAATATTTATTCTCAAATAAAATTGTATGCAACAAATATGAACAAAATTGTCAGAATAAATGTTTTAAAAAAAAATTTAAACAATAATTCGCTGGTTTTATATTCCATATGATTTTATATTCCATATAAGGCGATCTAAAGCCCACAGGATATTTGATCTTCAAGAGTATTTTTGTTTAAAAATATATACCACTCCTTCATGATCAATAAAGTATTCACGCATACTACGCAAAGCATTTAAGTATTGGACGGCATTCAAGAACGTGTTCATTTTGCATGAATTGAATTATTTATTCTATTTCCGAATAAACACTTGAAAGACAATGAGATCCCTACGTCATGTAAACATAAAAAATGTAGCATTAGACAATTTTTCTTTTTAGACAGGAAAAAGTGCCTTCAAATCGTCTAAATTGGTGAACAATACTAATAAATCTATAAACTTTAGTTTGTTACGATGAACGAAATTTTTTATCCTTATCTAAGGAATCATGATAGTAGACAAGTTCAAATATTTTTTGGGGAGAGGCATGCAAATAGTCAAGAAACCGCATAAGAACGAATAGCATGAAATGTGGAGCTGCTGCTTTAGCTGCACTAACTAATGTGGGGCGAATCACCGGGAGTCATCGGAAGAAGATTTGCCTCTGCTTCGGTTCATGCTCATTGGCACCTACCAAGCAGTGTAGCAGCCAACATCGTGTTGCATCATTTAAACTTTTTTAATTACTTATTTTTAGTTTTTTGTAGGAACAAACCTGGAAAGTTTTCTTTTTTCTTTAATTTAACGAGTCGCAAAAATTCAACGAGTCCCAAAAATTCAACGAGTCTCAAAAATTCATCCGGAAAAACAAGCGTGGGTGAGTTGTGATAAAATAATTTAATAATATCAATTAATATTATTTGGAGAGAAGCCTCTGTAATTCAAATAACTATAAGTCGGTCCCCGCTAAAAAGTTCTATCATATGTGCAGCGTTAAATGCCTACACAAAAATAAAATAATCTTGCGTTTGATACAGTAAAATATCACTAAGGAATCATTGAAGGCTTCGGTATCATTGACCTGGGCCAGTTATGCACTTGAACTCATGAATTTGTAAAGAACGAAAACCATCTCTACTGAGTGATGCATTATAAAGTGCAATATAACTATCAGGCTCATCGTATATAACAATCGGGCGCATTCAGGCGCACCGTATAAACTCCGCTGCAAAGAACAGGCGTTCAAATCTTCATTGAATTATAAATCGTTTCTACATTAGCACTTCATGATTTTGTTGCTTGTTCAAATGCATAATTTATTTGTGGTTTTATTATTGAAAATGTGATGAGTATCGCACCGAAATAAATCGACAATCGACAAATTGAAAGTGTTTATAGACTACTTTCAATGTGGAGAGGCGACCAGTTGAATGGAGATAAGCCAGCTAAAAGTAGTAGCAGGTAACATGAATTATATAAGAAAGCACATATTACTTGAGTCACTGACCAGTGTATAGGCGTGTCGATCCCGTCTTTGTACCACAGCTGCTCAGCTCACTGATCTGTGTATAGGCGTGCCAGCACGTGGCGGTCGTTGGTGTGCAGCGGAGTGACGTCGCAAGGCAGGAACACTCGGCCTCCCTTCACCCCCAGCACGGCGTGAATCGGACCACCTAACAATGAAGATATAATCGTCAATGAGTTAACTTCATCACAGAACATTTAATTGCATAAATTAGTAGATCCACATCAACTCGTTGCAATCAACTATTATGCGAACAAAATGAACGCTTCAGCTACTAGGCACAACTTTAGTAAAAGAAAAAAGTAGTCGTTTCGGTATCAATAATGAACAAAGTGAAGAATAAAATAAGATCTGAGCGAGCCTCCGAATATAAATTTGTTTTTAAATGGGGCAGTAAGTAGTGAAAGAACGATATGATTTTTGGAGATGCATGGCCAGAGTGACTACTACATAAATATACTACGGTATCCCCTCTATATCACATTTACTCATTGTCAATTTTCGCTGGAAGTGCTGCTGTGGCATGTTTGTTTAAAGAACATAAGTCTGCGCTTACAACTTAGCACTATGCAAATTGTTTAATACCATACAAATTACAAGATCACCCTGCAAATACTCAGCAGCAGGCAAATAGACTACTTTATAGGGTAACATGGGGCAGCGAGCCCACTGCGGGTCATGGGCCCATAGCGGGTTTGTCGCTAATTAAGTATGGCAGATATTGGTCCGTGTTCTCTACCGCCGGTCGACAGTTTCACTGGGATGAAGTGTACGGATTTACGTTTTGCTAAGTGTTTGCGTTATTAAGTTATTTGTGAATAACTGTTTTAGCCCAGATAAAATTTTTTTTGCTGCTAAATTAAACTGTTCTCGATTATTGTAGATGAAGCTTTTTGAAATTACTGTGAATTATATTTTGAAAGTAATATTTATAGGGATAATTTTGAGATCAAGTTTAGACTATTAGCTTTTAAAATAAAATGTTGACACGACATAAATTGAAATGATACCCAGTGAGGCAACGGGCCCACGCGTGTCACGGGGCAAAGCGCCCATGGTGAAGTCTTGTGTTATAGGTACATCATTAGATTTGTTTCAATGACCTTTTCAAAACTATGACTAGCTTTTTGAATTACAAATTACACTTCATATTGCATGATTTTTTTGATTTGCCGCCTCAAGGCAGCATGCAGGTTTAATTTCTAGTTATGCGTATTTATGACCCTTAATCGATTTATTGATTCTTGCCTTGCCAAAAGTTGATTTCAGTCAACACCAATGAGCCAAAAGTTGATGAGTTTCATGGTGTTGGCTGAAATCACGATTAGGTACGAATTCTCTGCACATAATATCTGGATTATGGACGAAGCTGGAACGAAGTTTTTTTTCTGATCAACTAATTATATTTTTTCTAGTCAATTAATGATACATTTTTTCGTATCAATGACGAATTTTTTATCGCAAGGATATATTTTTCAAGTCAAATATATATTGAAATCACGATTAGGTACGAATTCTCTGCACATAATATCTGGATTATGGACGAAGCTGGAACGAAGTTTTTTTCTGATCAACTAATTATATTTTTTCTAGTCAATTAATGATACATTTTTTCATATCAATGACGAATTTTTATCGCAAGGGTATATTTTTCAAGTCAAATATATATATTTTTTGTCAATGAAATATTTTTCTTCACGTCAGTGATAGATTTTTTAAGCCAAGAGTACATTTTCTTCAAAATAAGGACATGATTTTTTGAGTTGTTAATAAATGAATGAATGTCATATTTTTTATTACATTTTTCTTATTTTTAACTGTAAAGTGTTGTTTTATCACTTTTAAACGAAAAATATGCAATTGTGGTAAAGGGACCAAGGGTGGGCCCCTTTCCCCAAGCCCATGGGCCCATTGCTCCAGGGGTGGGGCAATGGGCCCATTTTGACACTTTTTACAAAATTGGGTTTCATTAAAAACTGAATGAATCTATAGGCGTCTAATTCACATCATACATTCCTCATTAGTTGTACCTTTAAACAAAACAAAGAAACCACTCGCGCGTACGGCTGCCCGACAGACGCGAGTCGTGACTGCACAAAAATATAATTCATCAACAGCATTAGCCATAGTTAAAGCCTTTTATAAGTGTAGAATTTTGAGGTAAACAATTTATTTTATTTTTATACAATTAGCATTGGTGGTGTCCATGTAGTATAAAATTATAGAATATTTGCCAGCAATCTCATGGGTGGAAATAATTGGTAATGATGCCCTTCAATTTTTGTACAAATTTGAGTGTAATTTGCTACCGTACGTGAATAAAAAGAAGCAGAGGAATTTAAGACCTCGACCCAGACACACCTACAAGTGAAATAAATAAAAATTCATTAACAAATCTGATTAATATTTGTTGATCATTTTTGTGACCAGCTTCACTAAGCCGTCATAAAATATGACTGGCAGAAGTTAATTACGATCTCGGACGCAGAACAAACGTCACTCCCTCTGCAGATCATTTCGCCCATCTCATACAGCTTAAGGGGAGCGTCTGGCCACTTTTTTTCTCGGCTGTTTACAGATGGATCATTTTGAAATTTGTTACACCATTGTAAAACCGAAAAATAGACAGCTTTTATTCATGTCCATTTTTCGAAAAAAATGAAAGAACACGACCAAAAAAGGGGGTGCTGTAGAAATCAATCTCCTCCTAGGATTTTGAAGCTACCACATTGAGACGCATATCATTCGATGCGTAAAGACCATATCTATCGATGTATGGTAGCTTTTTTCGAAAGTCGAATTTTTGTGGATGGGGGAGCATTTGCAAAATGTTCAAATTTTTTTCGATTTTCCCCTATTTCCCCTCCCTTTTTTCAAATATTTTCAAAACTATAACGAAATTTAAAAAAAATCATAAATCGATAGATATTTTAATTGCAAATCGAATGGTATATGTCTCATCGCTGTAGCTTCAAAACTGTAGGAGGAGATAGGTTTGCATGCAATGACAATAAGTTAATTGTTCAGTAGAGCCTGACAAAGTCCCGGGCGCCTCGAAATAAGCGTTCAAGGTGGCAATAATGCAAGACTAGGCGATACTGGAGCTCAATTCCTGTCAAGGATGGTGTGAACGACGACACGCAATTCCTCCCGTACAACTGCAGGCGGGTAATTGAAGCACATCATATGTGGACTAGCTATTTAAGTATGCTACCGGGAATTTCCGCCTATCTTTAATGTGAAAGAACTCCATCACCCCCCACCCGTTCGCGATCTGTCGTGAACGCATAAATCAACGTACAGAGATGATTTTGGTACCGTTGGATAGAGCAGAATGTCAGCTTCAAAATGAGACTAAAAACCGGAAAAGCCAAAATTCAAAAGTTTTGGCCAGACGCTCTCCTTAAGTTAGAAACAAGCAGTTAATAAGTCGATGTTTATTTTCCAAATGACAGCAAACTTCAACAGTTAATTAACCGCCGAACGCATTGAGCGTTAATGAAGTCGGATTACCACTGAATAATTAACATTTGGAAATGTAATGCTCATTTACGATTGTGAAACTAACAAAAATAATTGTTTCGTCCGTCTCTTTCAAAACAGTGTGATTATGCTCTAATGCAGTGTGTCTTCATAAATATGAAGCAGGCGTCGTGGCGCTGAAGCCTAGATGATTCGTCATTTTCGAAATTGGATGTACGTAATGAAACTTTGTATTTACGGAACTTTTGTAGAAGTTTTAATGAAATTCGCCAGCCGTGCAAGCAAGCTTCGACTAGCATCAATCAGAGTGAGGCCTGAATTAATAATGAAATATTTTCCAATAAATCTTTGCCGCGACTCACCTCCCGAACCACCACACAATCACGCCGCTAATTATTTGCTGTCAGACTAGCGGGAATTAGCATGGGGCCAGGGGGGGGGTGTCAGCGTCCAGGGAATGCATCGCCTGATCTCGTATATGATTAAGCCGTGTATGATTTCATTGCTTGCAGACTTTTTAACCAAGATAGTCCATTCTCATGATACTAAAGTTCGATTAAGTTCAGAATGTTCACTCTCTCCTATTCTCAGACGAGTATTTAATGACAGTTGAATTTGCTTCGACGAAACTACACGAGTTTATCTACGCGATGTTACCCAAAAATTTCATCGTCAGCTGAAAACTATTCACAGTGTTTGGGCATCGAACGAATTAGCCGATCAATGTTGGAGAAGTCGGCAGACTGTTCAAGGTTCTGGCGGCGGCGACCGGGGGCCATACTTTCAAAACTCGCTACGTGTACGTAAGTACTGGCGCTCTATTTTCTTGTTTACGATTTGTGGATTTTGCTTGAAAGGACGTCAATGATTGGCTGATGAACTTATGATCTCTTAACTTTTTTTGAAAGATGGGCCCGGGAACGCTCTGTAGCCGACGGCAGATAAACGTGTAGATGGAACAAGCAAGTATTCTAAATCAAAATCGATCATAGGCGCAAGAATTCAGATGTGTGACTTTTATGTTTTTGTTTCATTGAAAGAGAATCACGTATAAAATCAATAATAATTTATTGATGCAGTAACACATGATATGCCTTGTACACTTGCAAACGCAGTTCATCGATTATTGCAGTGAATGAGAAACCAACTCTCCACGAAGCAAAACATATCCTATCAACGTCTAAGTGCACGCCGCGCAGGTGTTCGTAAAGCCGACAAATTGCAGAATACAGAGACAATCAATCATATAACGTATATGCTGGGAAAACGGCATGCCACTTGAATGATGATCATTGATTTGGCGACAGACATGCGGCTAGCTGAAGCACCTTCTATATAGACTAGCAATTAACATAGTACCACTTGCTATAGTCACCCTCGCGTGGAGCGGAGAAGAGTATTAGATGCTAGTGCCAGATAACCCTCGTGACTGCAACAATGGCCGTCAATTTTTAACAAGACTGTGAGTAAGTAAAAGTCAAAAGGTAATGGCACAGCTGGAATGATAATGATGTAGAAATATTGTGAGACATAGTGACATATTGACGACATATGCGCATTAGTATCGATGAAAGTATACGTAATAAATGATGCTGTAATGTATTTAAATGGATAAAATATAAATCATAATCAAAGTTCCGTAGATTCCGATTGCATCATCATTTTAATGCCTAATTATTTTTCATAAATAAAATGACAGTGCTATAAAATCAACTCACAACTGAATATTCGTGCAAAAATAGTTTGAAGAAACAGAATATATTTGTGCAGAATCATAATATATTACAAATGTTTACGCATAGGTACGTTTATGTATCAACAAATACATCACTGTACAGACGCATGCGTGTGCAGTGATAACTTCTATTGTTATTAAAATTCCGTGATGTAATTTAGGAGGCACAATGCTCTTCACTGTGCATCATAATTAAATTTATTTTTCATGGGAAAGTTATACGACAAAAAGGAAAAGTTAAATTCTGGGATTGGGCTCGACCGAGTACGAATTCTGACAGAGCTTGCAGCGTTGCGATGTGAAATGT